CCCCTGACTCCCCCCAACCACCCAAAGAAGCCTTTGTGGCTCCTCACACCTGGCCCATCCCATCCCCCTGGGATCCCCAAGGCCCTAGGCTGGGGCACTGACTGCCCCCCTCCCAGCCTTCAGCAGGGGAAGATGTTTTTCTTCATCGGCCTCACCATGGCCACTGTCCAGGGCACCTATGCCCGGCGGATCAGCCCTGGCAGGGAAATTGCAGCTGCGAAGCGGGTAAGAGGCTCCCCTCAAGTGGGTGGCAGGTGGTGCCCTGAGCTGTGGGAAGGAGGAGGCAGGCCTGAGGTCACTGTACCCACCTCAAAGGCCATGCTGCTGCTGGTGCCCGCTTTCCTCCTCATCGGATGGACGTACACACTGCCCCTGCTGGGCCTAGGGCTGCTGCTCTACTCCTTCGGTGAGTGGGTCCTGCCTCGGCTTGGTGTATGAGGGCCAGCCACTCCTCTGGGCTGACAGTGCCCCCAATATCTCCTCTACCTCTCCCAGCTGCTGCCATCGTGGTGCCCTGCCTGTCTACTGTGGTTGCTGGTTATGGTAAGATCCCTTCCCTTGACTGAGACCACCCTGGGTAGGAGGTGGCTGGCAGACACCAACCAGACCTCTCCCCACAGGCTCACCAGGGCAGAAGGGCACCGTCATGGGTACTCTGCGGAGTCTGGGTGCTCTAGCCAGGGCAATGGGGCCCATGGTGGCCGCCTCAGGTAAGAGCTAAGGGACAGCACTTGGACACAGTGGGTGCCCTGAGACCAGGCCCCTTCCAGTACCCCCGAGCTGCCTGGACCTGCTAATGCATCCGGGACCCAGTCCTCTTAATGTCATTTGCTCAGTCCTGCCACCCGAGGCTGGGGCCATGTCACGGGCCTGGCTAAACGCCTGCTGTCTCTGCAGGGTACTGGCTGGCAGGAGCCCAGGTCTGCTTCACTGTGTGCTCGGGGCTCTTCCTGCTCCCCTTCTTCCTCCTGTGCAAGCGGAGGCATCCAGCACAGGAGCTCAAGGCTGAGTAGCTGAGAAGCAGCAGCACGTCTCACCGGACCAACCTACCCTTTTCCTTCCTGCTCAGGGAGGAACCTGGAGCCAGGGCCTTTCCCTCTCCCTCCTCTAGGGCTGTGGCTTGAAAGCCTGAGTAGCTACCCTGGGCCCCGCCCTTTGTCACCTTCTAACTCCTCCAGGCTGGGATTATTTTACTCCAAAAAGGATTGGTGACTCCAAGGCTATGAGCCAGGCTTCTGAGTGACAAATAAAGCAGCTATTTTATACCAAGTGCCTTTAACCAGGATGCTACTCTGCTTCACCTGCCGCCACCAGTCAGGGGCAGTTGGAGCTAAAAGCTTGGGCTCTTTTTTTTGGCCTGTTTCCCCTTCTAGACGGCGAGGAGGGTCCCCTGCCAGGTAGTGGCGAGGCAATGGCCTGTGCCCCGCACCCTGGCAGACTGGGAAGGAGGGACCCTCAGGCTGTCCCCATTGCAGATCCCTCCCCATCAGACATAGCCACACAGCTATCTGCTGAGCCAGGGCAAGGATAAGACTTGGGGCGAGGAGGGAAGGAGTGTCATGCTCCATGGGCCCTCCCCAGCATCTCCTGGACAGCACCTTCAGGTTCAAAGGGAGGGACAGCAGCAGTGCAGGATTCGACAGCCCCCCCAGTCCACAGCTACACTCTGGGGACCATTTTTTTGGAACATAAGACAACCTTCTAGAAATCCTACTTTAAGGGAACAAAAATTTAAAAATTACTTCCCAGATTTAGACAAAGAATCTGCTTAAAGAAGTTTATTTGTGAGTAAAACATGTTACAATGAAGAAAGGACAGGACCTGACCTCCCAAGTCTATGTCCATATATGCAACTATATTCCATTGTTGTCATACAAAGAATTAAACTATAAAAGTGGAAATTAAAAGTCATTGCATATGTGGGATAAAAGGAGGGGAAAGGAAGAGTCCACAGTTACGTGAAAACTCTAATACCACCTGGGCATCAGAATGACACACACAGAGCAGCAGCGTGCCAATGCAGCAGGCCCTGCGGGTTCAGGAAGCTCAAAGCTGTGGCAGTGCTGTGCAGCAGCCTCAAGTGCTCTGGATTCCAAGTCAGAGGGACCCACGGTGGCTCAGCCCACCCGGCACACACCTGCACCCATGTCTGACACCAGCTAACCAGTGGCTTCTCCCCTGGTGTGAGTCCTGTCTGGAGCCCAAGCAGGCTTGCCTGTACCTAGCCAGGGTGGCACTAGGCAGCTCCTGGAGTAGGTCACCCTCTAATATTCCATCTGGTCACTTACCAGTTCTTGCCAAGCAGCTTCAAGCCCCTTTTTCAGAGATGCTAAGTGAAAATTTACAATGGTGTCAACTGAGGAGAGCAAGTAAGGGGCTCCGTGAACGATGTTAGGTGTTAGGTGGACCACCAGGGTAGACTGCTCCCTTGAGATTGCGTGTGTCAAAACCAGGGCATCTTTCAGGTTAAGTAAAAGTGAGACTAGACCCCAACTCAGTTCTAAAACCTCCCCCAAAGTAGGTGAATAGTATCGTGCTGTAGTATGCCACTGGCTCTAGAAAGAAAAAGCAAGCAAAAAGCAGCCTGTGTCTACAATTTAAAAACGCTGAACTGCAAACCTGCAGAAACAAAATTTTAGAAAGGACTCTTCCCCTTCCTGATATACCTTTAAGAAACTGAGCTCCTGAATCTGTTTTTGGTCGAGTGGAAATCAGTCAGACCATGCATAGCATTGGGGTGGGTGTACAAAGACCCATTTGTGGCTGGGGTTTCTGGTCCAGCAGCCACCCAAACCCACCTCTTCAACGCAACCACATTGGTGGGCATGCAAGTGTTTTCACAGGACCAAGGCTTTGTATACAGCAATAAAGTGAGATCATTAAGCAGATAATGCCAGCAGAAAGCCATGAGTCTGATTCAGTCACCTGAGACACCTTGGGGCAGAAGGGAAACCGAGCAGAGACAGAAAATGTGTTATTTCATGGCAGGAAGGAGAGAAGAGAAGGTAAAGGCTCAGGCGGGTGAAGCCTGTAACCAGAGCTGGCAGAAGCCACCACCTTCCAGCCAGGATCATGATTTAGCATCCCCCCAACCCTGTGGGAAGAGCATGTCTCCCCCAGAACCTGAGGCTGGGGGCTGCTAGCTTGGCTAACAATGTCTGCATTGGCCTGGTCACGCGCAAGTGGGGAGCTCTAGCTACACGGAGGGCTTGGCGTTTGCATTCCATTACACAAGAGGGCAGCACATGAGATGCATTGGGGCTCTGGCAGGGCCAGGTTGCTCAGACACAACAGGTGGTACAGGAAGGACCTTCAGGAATCACTCTTCTTCTTGCTTTTCTTCAGGAAGGAAGGGGTACGGAACTTCTTCTTCTTTTTGGACGGGGACTTGCCTGGAGACCCATCACTGCCTGGGTCCACAGCAGCCCCCTCCTCAGCTGCTGGGGAGGCAGCTTCTTCAGCTGCTGGGGAGGGGGCTGGCTCTGGGCTGGCTACAGTGGGAGGCTTGGAGGGGCTCGGGGGAAGAAAGACTTCCTCCTCCTTCTCTAATGTTGGGAAGCCAGGTGCTTCTGAAGGCTCATCAGGGGACAGGTCAGGGAGAGTTGGCTTGAAGGTGGCAGCATCACTGTCGTCTCCGGAAGTCGGCTCCTGCGGAAGGTCTGGTGGGTGAGGGGAAGAAAGACATGGTAAGGGCTCCTGCCTGAATCTCCAAGGAGCAGCTTGGGGTGAGAGTACCTAGCACAGGGAACTACCATTTTATTTTATGTATAGATTTTTACCAAGATAAGAAAAATCTATATATAGTGTATTCTACCCTAAGGCTGTCACTTATGTTAAAAACACAAACCCACTCTCAGAGCATTTTTAGCTCTTTCCAATGGACAGCATGCTGGCAAAATCAGATTTAGGCACGGCCTCAGGTCAGTCATCAAGACAATCTGCAGCCAGGCAGCTGAGAACAGCTGGAGTAGCACAGTGTTCCACACTAAACACCCCGACAGGTTTGTTCTATAATCTTCAGGACACATTTCAGAAGTCCTGAAATTAAATCTAAATTTGAGTCCATGACACCTCGTCTTTCCCAAGACCATCAGTCAAAAACCAAGAGTCTACTCCCAGACCCCATGTGTGACATACACATCTTATATTATAAAGCCATTTAGGCTGGATGTGTAATGAAAAGAGAGGAACTATAAGGTAAAGAGCAAGGGGCAAAAGAAAAAAGCTATCTTAGCAATTTGAACATCTAAATGTAGAAGAGCAAAATGTAATTTGTTTTAAAGAAAGCTGCTGTTGTGTGGTTTCCTCACTAACCCAGACAAACCCGTTTGTACATTTTTAAACAGTCTGCAAAGTTACAAGCAGGCAAGTTAGGCAGCATCAAACCTTTTAGTTAGTACTTCAAAATCAAGCCAAACATAAGGACAGGAGGGGGAGTCAGCTGAGCGCGGTTAGGAGAGCGCAGAAGGCTCTGGGCTGAACACTTAGTGTTGTAGTCTGGTGAGGCTGGAGGAGTCCTGCCCTGCTAGTTGCCCTCAGCCCCAGAATTCAATGCCAGGCTTTATCAGGAGGGGCCTAAAGGCTCCGCTCCCAGGCACGCCCACTCTGAGGGGTTAGGGTTCGCACTGCCAAGCATGCTGCAGTTATTACTTCAGGACAGGAGCTGCCAATGGGTGCTCAGAAGAATTTTTCTCACTTGATCAAACATCGTATCTTTTAAAAAATGTCAAACATCACCCTCTGCCCATCAATTCCTGCTTAAGCGAAGGTCCAAACATATCTGACTCCATGTACTGGGTGGCAGAATCCCTCCCTGTCTAAACCTAGTCAGGATTTATGTCTGATCCATCATAGCAAAAGCTTCCCACCAAGCCGTCAGATGAGATTCTTAGCTGAGGCCGAGGGTTCCCTGAGCACATTGCTGCGTGTGTGGGAGCCCTGAGGAGGGGCTGCTCCACCCCATACAGGCAGCCTATGCCGGCACAGTTCTCAGCAGACCACTTCCAGGATGGCCACTGAGCAACTACCTATAAAAAGGGGGCTTCTGTTCTTATTTGGAATAAACAGAAAACAAAACATAATAAACAACAACGAAGCAGGAGTAAGGCAAAGCACAGGGCATTCTGGTTAAAGAGCCAAGGGCCAGTCGTGGGCGGTACTTACTACGGTAACAGGTACTCTTTAGCACATCCATCTCCTGTTTGTAATGCAGCCACAAGAAGAGAAAAGCACAAGTAGAGAATCTATGCATTCAGTCACAGCCATTGGGTTATAGGAAGAAAGGCCGGGCCATTCTTGTAGAACACAGAACGGGGCAGGGAAGTGAGCCACAGGCTTCACAGGGGACACGGATATACGAGACCGAGGGACAGACACATCAACTGCACACCACAGACATGCGGTGTTCTGAGAGGCAATTGGAGTAGAGCACTCTCAGTGGGACTGATAAATACAGCCAGTCAAAAATCCTGCAGCCCCAACACAATGGCAGGCATTTCTAGGAGGGTGATCTACACACAGGAAGGCATGAGAAGTGTGCAAGCAAAGGACGAAGTCGACATTAGTAATGGCAGTGGGCTCCAGCCCAACACCTGCCCTCCCACCGCGTCGGGGCTCACTAACAAATCAGTTTTATTTCAAGTTACCCGAGACAACCATCATAGGAGAAAGGCTGGGCGAGTTCAGAGCCACGCTGGGTGTGGTTTCAATGCAAATGCACACTTCTTTATTAGTGTTAATGGAACTATTGCCACATTCAGTTGCCAGTACACAAAAGGCCATGCACCCTCCCACCTGGGGACAGCCACACACCCACCTCTACCCCAGAGCTCACCTTCTTCAAGCTTGACAGGAGTGCTGGGTGGAGTGTGGGGGATGGCAGACTGGTCTGGAAGGCTCTTTTCTTTCTGTTCTCTAGTCTCATCCAGATTCTCTACGGACACACAAAAGCAAGAACAGAGTAAGGGCTTTGGACACCACGAGCCTACACACTCTTCAAAGGCAGGTTGGTCAGTCCTCCCCGGGCAGATCTGGCTGCCTCAGAGAGGTTGCTGGGGCTTTTCAGGGTATGACCAGAGAGAGCAGGAAGGGCTGGATGTGTACTGAAAAGAGAGGAACTGTAAGGCAGTTAACAGCTGTCTCCTGGGCAGAGGGCCCCTCCCGCCATGTCTTATGATGGTATACATGAGGTCTGGGGGCGAACACTGCCTAGCTCTGATTCCTCTCTTACACGTGTCCGTTCCAACAAGGACCATGGACATGATTGTCTTCATCCTCTTTCCTGTTCCTGTCCAAAATAGGATGATGGAAGCTGCCTAAGGTTCAGATATTGATTTGAACTTCAGAAAAATTTAACCGACTTTGGATACAAAATTAATTTTGTTGTTGTTTATTTACTCAGTTATTCTATGCGAGAGAGAAAGAGGCACTCCCACAACAGTCCCCACCCCAATGACCCACCCACTGTGTCAGCTAGCTCAGGTCAAGGGCACACATGCACATGTTCAGCACGTGAGCCAGGACCTTTCCCCTGAAGGTCTGGCCATGCTGTCACTGCACCACCATTTACTGTCTATTCTTATCCCAAAGAGCACTCGCCTGAGCTGCCTCTGTGGCAGACTGGGACTGATGAGCTGCCCTGGCCCTTCTGACCTCTGAGTGAGGAGCTTCTCCCTCACTGCCCTAGCAACTTTCCCTGCCGAGCAACTAGTCCTGGTGCCGACATACATGTGTCTGCTCTTTGGGCTGTTCCAGGATCTGAGCGACCTAGATGTTTTCTTGTTTTGAAAAGGCTTTTACCACCCCTCTCACCACCTCAAGAGAGGTTCTTTAGCATTACTTTGGTTGGTTTGTGTATTTATTTATTTTAATTTGCTATGGGTGCATGTGCTCACATGGGGGGTGGAGGAACAGAGAAAGTCAAGGGGGATGGCCCTGCCACAGTCCCTTCTCCTCCATCCTCCTCGTGGGATTTTGGGTGCACACGCAAGCACCTACGTAGGGTACTTTTGGAGCCATCAGGTCTGAGACTCAAACCGCGCAACTGGCCATGTGGCATCTAACCACCTTAACCACTGCACTGCCTGCTGGTCCAGGAAGGAAAAGTACTGTCTGACTCAAAAACCAAAACAAGAAAACATCTAGGTTGCGCAGACCCTGGAAAAGCCCAAAGAGCAGATGCACGTATGTAGGTACCAGGACTAGGCCAAGTTGACACACTTTTTTTTTTTTTTTAAATATCCCAGAAATTTATTTCATGTTTTAGACATCAGAAATAGAAACCACAAGCCCAATTTTAGGACAGTTCTTAGCTTAAAGATTAGTCTCTAGTGAAATTAGGCCACTCCCTTAAAAAATGCTCAGTGTGTTGGAGCGACTGTGCAGAGAACAGCTGGTATTTAGGAGGGCATTTCATGTTCTGGTCTGTTGGAACATTTAAATACTTGGAAATAAAAAATATTCATCTTTGAAGTTTTCAATACTGGAAAACTTTCAAGTCTAGGGTTTATAGCCAGGAAGGGTGGCTTTGTGTTCCTTAAATTGGACTCTCTTTCCCACAAAGTTAATCTTCAGTTTTGGCTTCCATCTCTTCTGCATCATCATCTCCATCAACTTCAGCATTTTCTCTCTCAAGCCGCTCCAGCTGCCTTGCAAGCTCAGTCTCATCTATATCTGTGACTACCTTGGGCTCCATTTGAACGGTGAACACACCCCTCTTTTCCTCAATCTTTTCTTTGATAACAGCCATAGCCTGATTGAGAACAGAGAGGCCTTCCGTTCTCTCCAGGGTTGTCCTGGTCATCACATACCGAGGAGGAGCTATTAGGTTAATCTTGATGGGCATGGTTTCCGTAGAACAATTCAAACCTGCTCTCAGGGCTTCTTTTACAGCATCAATGCCCTCATAACCATAACAAGCCACTTCAATATCTGCTCGAATTTTGACAGCCTGTGGGGTCAAACGCCTATTAATATTGTTGATGAGTACTTCCCGTTCATCTTCATTTAGATCTAAGCTATCCAAAATAGATGGGTCTGAGACTGCATGCTTAAAGGCATCATAGGCACCATATCCAGGTCTCTTGTACTTGTCACCGAAGACCCAGGCAGTCCTCTGGAACAGGCTTTCCAGCTGTTCATCCTTGGTGTATTCTAATACCTCAGCAACATGACGAAGAATCCTATACACAGTTTTGGATTTTGTGAATTTGTCTTCATGTTTTATTGCTTCCTCTGGAGAAACTCTTCTTTTTGACAAATCAATATATCCTTTTTCTTTGTCCACTCTAATAACAACCACACATTCATTCCTTCCAATTCGGATGAGTTTGTTTATAGAACGGATACGTCTTCTGGACAATTCACTAAGAAGAATCATGCCTTCGATATTATTGTATTCCAGCAAGCTGACATAAGCCCCCATTTCAGCAATGGATCTTACATTTGCCATGACTACATCTTCCACCTCAGGAAATTTATGTTGATAAAATCTACAACTTAGACCTGGCATTCTGAGGTATGTGTGTGAGTCCCGCACTTGAGAGCTGCGCCGTGCTCTTTAACTGGAGACCTGACTTGATACATCCACACCAGCCGTCCGCCTCAGCGTGCCGACACACTTTCTTTAGTTATCACTCTAACATAGATAATTATGGCAAAGGGTCAGCCCAGGCTGCCTATGCCATTCAGAAAGTGATGCCAGAGGGCCAGCCCATAGCTTGGTGGTTAAGGCAGCTAGATCCCATATGGCCAGCTCTATGGTTCAAGTCCTAGGATTTGAGTCCCAGACCTGATGGCTTGAGAAACACACGGGGCACATGTGCTTAAAGTCCCAAAAGGAGGGAGAAATGGAGAAGGGACTGCAGTGTGACCATTCCCCAGAGAGGGTGCTTTCTCACTTTTCCCTCTGTCTTTGTCTCTCTCTAGTGAGCATATGTGCCTTTTGGCAAATTTTTAAAAATAAGAAATAAAAAAAAGAAATGAGACCAGGAAGGACATTGAGATCTGAGCACTGATACTGTAACATACAGAAAAACAATTCAGTAACAGTGCTTTACACAGCCCAATTTGAAAAGCAGCCATATAATGTGGTACTTGGTCTAAAAGGAGACTGAAAAGAACAAACCAGAGATCATCTTAGAGGCAAGGCACAGATCCCAGGACAACCTCTATGACCCAGGAGGATGTGGGCAGTCCCACACATAGGCCATTCCAGCAAGCCAGATCCTAGAGGCAAACCAGGGAGCACACTTAGATATCACCAAAAGGATCTGGGCTGAGGATACTGGCATGAACTTCCTGATGAAGAGACACCTGTGCCCCAGGCCTTCCTAATGCCAGCCCAGGATACTCAGTGCCCAGTGGACAAGAGGGCTGTCATCAAGAAGCTTTAGGAGCCCTTCTAGCACAGGCAGTAGGAGGCCTGCTTGTTTTGCTACTTCTCAAAATGTTTGTATCTACTTTTTTTTTTGAGAGGTTTTTGCTATAGGGAATGTGCGCTCTCCAGACAGACAGACAGAGAAACAGAGAGACAGAAAGCAAGAAATCACCTCCCAGGGGGAATGGCCATGCTGCAATCCCTTCTCCTTCATTCTCCTCTTGGGATGTTGGGCACGCACACACACGCGCCTGGCGTGAGTATAAGCCACCAGGTCCAGGACTCGAACCACAGTTAACTACAATGGAGTCCAGCGACATAGCCATTACGCCAACTGCTGGTCCCTGTATCTACTTTTTAAAAACTGACGTTTAGGGGCCAGCAGGTGGCATGGTGGTTAAAAGGTGCTAGATTCCAACATAGACAACTGCGGTTCGAGTCCTGGACCTGGTAGCTGGCTTTCTCGCTTTCCCTTTTTCTCTCTCTCTGGTCAAATTAAAAAATAACAACAACAAATGGAATTAAATAAATAAATCTTAAAAAAAAAAAAAACTGAAGTTTGAAACAACCTGTATTATGAGTTTTTTTGGTTTTGTTTTTTTTTTTTTGAGAGGTTTTTCGCTATAGGGCGCGTGCGCTCACCAGACAGACAGAGAGAGACATAGAGACAGAAAGTGAGAAATCACCCTCCACGGGGGATGGTCACGCCACAATCCCTTCTCCTCCATTCTCCTCTCAGGATCTTGGGCACGCACGCACACGTGCCCAGCGTGAGTTTTAAGCCACTGGGTCCGGGACACGAACTGCGGTCAACTACGTGGGAGTCCAGCGACATAGCCATTACGCTAACTGCTGGTTCCCGAGTTTTTGAGGCTTAGAGTCACTTACGTCCATTTCTCATAAAACTGTCCCATTATCATTTATGAAAACATGGCCATCTTTGTTAGTAAGTTACCAAGAGAAATAAAAGCCACAGTAGCATGTGGTCCCTCCTGACATGGTACCAGAGCAGTCAGCATGCTAATCCAGGAGCCGATGAGCCCCACACAGGGAGACCCTCTTCCTCTCCCATGTCCCTTCACAGTTTCTGGTAAGCAGGGTACTTCTGGTGAGGTTTAGCCTCATCTGGACAGAGGTCCTTCCTACCATGTTTTGTGACAGTACTCACAACGTCTGGGGATGGCCACTGCTTAGTACTGTGACGTCCTTTCAGGCTCAGTTCATCTGGGCAGAGTCCTTACACATAGCTATTCTAACAAGGATTATTGATATACGTTTAGTTTTTACAATTCCTCCCATTATAGCCTGAATGACTAAGTTGGACATGTTTATCAAAGAATGTTCTGGTCTTTAACATTTATCTTTCAAGTACCCACAGTCAGTACCTGGACTACAGAGAAGTTCCCAGAGCACTTTCTCCAGATTTGGATAATCAACCATGCCCAGGATCTGTGAGCACTCACCTTCCGAGCCCTTCTGCTTCCGCTCCACCTCCTTTCGGTATTCTTCCAGCTCACGGTCTGTGAGCGTGTTGAAAGGGTTGGGGCCTGTTGTGCTCACGATGACATGGGGCTGGTATTCTTTTTCAATGATGGCCTTGGAGGCTGTTACCAGCTCCCCCTGTGGACAAAAGGGATACCTGGTCCGCAAAAGCCTGGCCCGCCAAGGACTCTCCCTCCTCCCAAGCAGGCTGCAGGCAGGGGGGGCATGAGGCTTTCCAGGAGCAGACAGAGACCCTGAGACTGCACTGCCATGGCCAAGGCCTAGGCTGATAGGCAGCCTTACATGGAAGATGTGGAAACAAGCTTCAATGCTATAAAAGAAATGTAACCAGAGAAGGAATCTCGTGAAAATCCTTCAGGTTTCAGAAGCAAAGGCACAAAAATGCAGACCCAAGAGCACAGATCAGCCTAAGAGCCCCACAACTCCTCACCACCAGTCAGGAACAGAAATGGGTCCTTGGAGTAAGGGCTACTTGGAGATTTGCATATATTCAAAGAGCACAGAGAAGTTCTGTTCTTTTGACTACATATTTAGTTTATAACTAGCTCTTAGAAATCATCCCAAAACATTCATAGATAACAAAATGTCCCAAACACCAGTGTTTGTCTGATAAATTTGGAAAACTGTGAGCATCTGTATTAAATTTAAAAATGAGAAAGAAAGCAAGCACAAAAGTGGTTCATGGATCACACCCAATCTTAAGGAGGTGGCAAAGCCTGAGGATAGTAGGCGGTGCCAGCAGGTGGGACCAGGCAGGCAGCCCATAGAGGGTGTGCAGCACACCCCATGCTCACCTGCCACAACCCAACACAGCTCTGTGCCCCACAGCTCAGCCTACTTGAGGCTAGGGAAGAAAAGTAGCCCCCAGATGCTCTGGGAAGTGAGTCAGAACTCATGTGCAAATTACTTAATGACAGCTTTTAAAACCAAATGAAAACAGGGAGACTCCAAAACCATTTTGATGCCAGGCCTAGTTCTGTAGTGCCTGCCTCAGTGAGGGCCAAACAGCAACAGCAGCAGTGGCAAGTGTTCCTGCCACACCAATTTTAGGGGAATTCTGCTCATAAAGGCCACCTGCTCCTCAGGCAGAGGTCAGGCACCCAAGCTAGCTGACCAGCACTTAAGGGATCACAGCTCAGCACACCAGTACAGAGTGTCTAGAGCACTCCATGGCTGAGAAGTCACACAGACTCCCATGAGAGAAGGCAGGGCCTGCTGAAACAGGTAGTCCAGGTCCAGAGCCTAAGACTCACAGCTGTCTACACAGTCACAGGGAACCTTCTTTTGACTAGGCCTGACCGAGGCTGACTGGCTGTTTATTTCAAAACAGCCCTGTCTCACCAAGACAGGAAACTTGAATCCTCTTCTGCCACTCACTAGCTACTAACTTGAGTAAAGCTCCCTTCTGTCCACAGTTCCTTCCAGGTCTCACTTTTACTAGCTGAAAAAGAAACCCACTAAGCTGCCAATTGCTAAGATGCCTTCGAGCCGTGGCAATTCTATAAACTGATGGCAATTTGGCTAGCTGCCTCTGTATCCTGATTATCCCTGCCAATAAAGTGATGAGGTTTAACAGAAATGTTTACATTCATTTAAGTCAAATTAATTTAATTTACAATTAGTAAAGGGATTTTTTTAAAAATCGAGAACTGACTATTGCAGAGACATAGAAGTCCTTGTCCCATATTTTGATGCCCCAAAGGACAAGCAGAGCCCTTCTCATCCGGGGACAGATGGCCTTCAAGGGTCAGGTGACTTTCAAGGTGCACCACGGTGGGTTCCTGCCTCTACCGGCACAGGGCTTCCTGCTTCAAGTATTGGGCCATTGGAAAAGTCATGATGTATTTTTGCATAGAAAAACAGAAAAATACATGATGACTTTCCTGACGACCCACTATTTCAGCTATAGAACAAGTTGCTGTCAGACCATCTGTAAAAAGACATGGAGACAGACTAACCCTGGTACTCTGGAGGGAAAGAAACAGGGCAATGCTTGAGATTCGGAAAGAAATGGGCAACTTGTGGAACGCAGGCTGAGAAGAGGGGATAGGGCACAGCTGCTCCAACAGGCCACGTGGAGACTCTTGCTGTTTCCCTCCATGCCTAGTCACCTAACAAGAGCTTTAAGAGGCTTGATAACTATTTCTGTACCTGCCCAAGGCAGCTTAGGTGGAACCACAGCTCCACCTCTGAAGCACGCAAACCTAGGCTAGGAGACTAACTTCTCTGAGCATCAGTGTCATCTGTAAACAGCACTGCCTCAGATCAACATTGACATTTTTAGTGCTGGGCCATGCACATGCTACTTGCTCTAACAAGGTCATTGATAGAGTCCAAGCCTAATGCCTCTTTGTGTTTCTCCCACACAGCATGAAGGGTAGCAGAGGGTAGAGCCCCGGGCAAGGTGCAAATGAACATGGGTAAGCTCACACTACAAGGATCAAACCACAGAGTCCTTCCAAGGGCTGGAATGGCTAGCAGCATAGTTCTTCACATCCTCATTTCTAACCATTCAATCCTTGTAATGAACTCCAGAAGACAGTTGCAATTATGTCAGGTTACACAGTAGGATGTGCAGAAGCTGAATTCAAGAGAACATTCAAGTGGGCTTGGTATTCCTTCCTGAAATGATGATTTTTTTTGCCCCTTTCTCAGAAGGTCACAGCTGTACTGTGTGACTGTCTATCACCAGTGAGGCAGAAAAGACCCAACTTCCTAAGTCCCTAGGCCCCAATACTTGTTTCCTCAAACAGGAAACAAGTATTGATAAATTTGCTTCAGTGGGAGGGGAGGAGGAGTTTTTAGGATATAATCCTTCTTCATTTGGCGAGGAGAAATTCAACTTGCCAACAACGAATAGTACCAGGTCAGAAAGGAGCAAAACTGTCTGCATTTTGGGGTCCACACTGAAGAAAGTGAAATAACAGCCCCAGGAAAGGACATCCATGGAGTCAAAGCATAATCTCACCATAAAAATGCAGTACACAAAGCTGGAATGGGGTAAAGAACAAGGGTGCAAATACGAACTTTGGAAACAGGGAGGCTGAGAAAATAAAAGCTGGAACAACAATTCACACACTCTGTGTGTGTGTGTATATGTGTGCATGTGTGTGTGCGTGTGTGTGCATATATGTGCGTGTGTGTGCGTGTGTATGTGTGTGGCGGGGGGGCGGGTTCGCCATCTCTTTAACTGCAATCTGCATGCCATGGTATACTCTGCTAATCACGCCTGGATGTGTCACTCATGGGAGCACATTGTTCAGACTGTGGGCACCTACATCTATCTCTCCTAAGTGCCCAAGGTAGCATCTGGACACCACTGGGCCTGTGCAAAAGTAACTGGATGATGAAGCAGCTATAACGGTACCCTTTAACACCACTAACCAGGCGGCTCTCTCTGGAGAGCCCTAACAAGGTACACAGAAAATCCATTCAATGCACTCAGTACCAGAGACATGACACAACCTGACTCTGCTCCAGGGTGACAAAACCAGAGAGCTGCACCTGTAGGTTGGCTCTGGCATGACAACCCAACTGAGATCACAGACTACATTTGCCTTTGCATGTCTGAGATAAAGAATTATCACCAAACACAATAGCAATACCTTACCACCCAAAGTACCAAGACACAAAAACAAGCTGACAGAAAAGAGTAGCTAGAAGCAAATTAAGGACAAAGGAAAACAGGACTCATTGGATTAACACATAACTATACAAAATATTGGGTTGTAGGTAAAGTCATTATGCATTTTTGCATAGAAAAATATGTCATAACTTTCCTGAAAACCTAATAACATTATTAGCAGGAATATACAGTTTTTGGCAACTGTACTTGTACCTCATTGAAAGCATATTAAGTGAGAGACAGCACCTGGAGATTTCCTTTGAACAGAAGGTAAACATCACAGCTAAGACTCCAACCCACGCAGTTGGCCACATTGTGCCTGGGCACTGCGTTCTGTGCACTTTAGCCTAAATGTTTTGGGAAAGTTTCCTTCTACTTGACTAGTTAAACCAGACAGATCATCCACCAACCACTGGCACTACATCGACATGCACACAGAGAGTTGCAATTTTGGGTTTCAAATTTTCCTCTTTCTTCCCTACAACATTAAAAAAAATCATCTAGGGTTTTTAAAGGTAAAAATAATTACTTTTATCAAGAAGGGCTGAAAAGACCATTTTATTTTCCATTCCTCTAAAATAATATCTTTTCATGATATGACCTCTAATTGCTACAATTATTATTACATTTGGGATCAAAGCTGAGTAAGCAAGAATTAGAAGGCCGTGCAAGGGAGCTGCCACTGCTCACAGAATGCCCAGATGAGCTTATCTGCAATCAGTGTCTTATAAACTGCAAACTATGAAACCAAAATCATGCTCTAACTAAAGTCACATGCAGAACTCCAGAAATGTACCACATCAGTACTGGTCATTCCTTAGCAACAACTTAGAATACTGAAAATTGTTAAAATACACCATACCCAATGTTTTAGTTAAAAAAACAGAGTGGGCAGAACAGAATCTTCTGTATGATCTCACAAATAATTTAAAGATCTATTTCCAGCTACTGCAGTAACTAAGACAATGTCTGGAGAGGAGACATGAGGGTAGAGGGAGGGGAGGAGGGCAATGCGTCCCGATAGGTAGTTAAGGACAGAGCAGTGAGTACCTTTCTAAAAGAGAGAGACTTAGCAGGACTAAAGGTCTGCTCTGTAAGCTCGAGCCCTTCGATAGTTTCCGTACAGTCAGAGAGGGGTGCATCCTGCAACAGTAAACTGAGTCATCAGAGCACACCTGGCCCAGTCTTTGAAATATCAACCAAGAGCACAGGATGGAGCCAGCTCGGAGCATGCAGCAGGGACGGTTGTCAACAGTGAGTGCAGCAGTGATGACAGTGGCACGTGCAAACACTGAACAGAAAACTAGGACCACAGCTGGCCAAATTCAGGAAATGCAACGACAGTTATCTACCTCTGCAGAGTCAGGTTTTAAGCATTAGGTGGCATATTAACTTTCAGAGATAACTACTTACATAATTATCTTCGATGTGCCACTAGGTATGGTTGTTTTATAGAAACACATGTAAATGTGGACCACATTTACAGGTACCCACCCTTCTGCAACCCAAGCAGCACTTTATTACAGACAACAGTAAGTACCAAAACAGAAGTCCACTAAGCCCACCCTCTTCCAGCACCTTATCCAGTGTACTGTTACAACCAAGGAGAATCCAGGTCCCAGAGCTGTGGTGTACCACCCTCACACATGCATGCATTATATAGAGCGGGACTAGAGGGATGGTCATGGCCCTCGGCATGCTCATGTTTAGTCTAGAACTCAAGAAAACGTGGCTAAGTTATTTCTTTGTATACAGATTTTTAACAAAGATAACTGGTTGCCTAGAATACTTACCTCATCGTCACTCTCTCCCAATTTAAGAGTAACTTTGGAGCAGATGGTCATAAAGCCACCACCCACTAATGTCAGAGACATTCTGAGCTCTCACCTGGACAAGGCTCCTGTCCATCACTACACCACACAAAACCTGGGACTGAGGGCCAGCCGTTTTAATGTCTTGTAAATTCTGCTCTCGGATCTGAGGACAGGAAGAAGGAGAAACAAATATCAACAGTACAGAGAAGCCATACATAGCATAGCTGTGAGTCACGCTGCTTGGTCCCAGCTGTGTACAAACTACACTTTTTTTTAGGTTTTTGCTGTTGGGCGCGTGCACTCGCCAGAAAGACAGAGAGATAGGGATATAGAGAAAGTGAGAAATCACCCCCCAGAGGGGATGGGATCTTGGGATCTTGGGCACGCATGTACACATGCCCGGCATGAGTTTAAGCCACCGGGTCTGGGACTCGAACCTCGGTCAACTACATGGGAGTTCAGCGACATAACCATTATGTTAACTGCTGGTCCCCAAACTACACTTCTGTTCTGCTCTGCCCCATGATGGTAAGACGGCCCAGTATGTCCTGAGTAAATGTTCTGAGTGATTACCAGGCCTGCTTGATGGCATTGGTCCAACCTGCTTAGTAGGACATGTATATGCAGGGATGTAAAGACTGACTATTCCAGATTTTCTACACCTCCAAACAGCTTTGGCAGAGCATAGATCTTCCACTGTACTTACTAACTGGGGGAAAACACTCTTGGGTGCCCATCTTCTACTGATAATGTGAACACTGAAAGATCTCATATTCTGATAAACCAAATGCTTTTCAAACTCTTCAAATGAACCTTGAAAGGCAGGCTGGATAGCTTCCAATCCTCCCTCCATGGAGCAAATATCAGTTCAATCATCAATGGGACCCAGAGAGTCTGCTGCTGACATACCACACTGCTAGCCAGGACAGTAGAAGCAGTATAAAGAGATGACTTCAATACACACTGGTGACACTAAATGTCCTCTGCTAGAAGCAAACACACCCTCTTCCCCTAAAGAAGCAAGCATCCCTTCCAACCCCACACCCACACTTCCACCAAGTGCTGGCAGGACGCACCTTGTTCCTCATCTCCTGGACCTCTTTTGGGTTAGTGTTCAATGGAACAAACAGGTTAGGGACAGCAGAGGTGGAAGTTCTATGTCCATCCTCTTTAGTCCACTGTAATATCAAGAACAGTTAAAAAGTCAGGATTATAACAATAATAAATGACAACATAGCATCCAATCTGTCCAACTTATCTCACACCTGGTCATGCACTGAACATCACAGAGAGGACAGAACCAATGACGCATCTCTGGGGTCACTTGGCAAAGTCACCATGGGAGCAGGGCGTACCACATAAAAACCAGTTAATGGTAGAAGTCAAGAGTCATGACTGATCTAAGAGCCATCTGGAAGGCCCAAAGAAAATCTGGGACACAGGCAGGTTGACGACAGAGCCAGGCCCTGTAACACCTCAGGCCAGTTGGGGAGGCCCCTCAGAGACCATTGGTTCACCGCTCTGAGAGTCATCCAACACCAAAGCCAACTGTAAGCATGAGATGACAGGATCATGAGAAGCAATGTGAGGCTCCTACCCAGGGGCAGGTAAGGAACTGGTACTGTGAGGCAAGAGTGGGCATCACCAAAGTTTTGCATGAAAATAAATTAATGATAGCGTCGGAATGCACTGTTTACATAACTACTTCAACCCAAGAAAATTACCATATGAGCACTTATACAGTAGCTACCTGGCAGAGAGTTTGGTGATGTCGAATATTTTATATAACTTAATACTTGTGAGTGTTACAAAAATATCCCAAACAAACTCGAAGCGCTTCATGAATCCTTAATTAAAGGCTGTTTTAGTTATCAGTGCATATTGTCAACATGCTGTATCTTTTACTCATAAAGTTTGTTTGGGTATCCAATTAAACAGGAGATTTTTTAAATCAAATTCTAATTCTTAGCCATAAATAGGCACTGAACATTAAAACAAGCCCAGCTTAGAGAGCAAATGTTATGCCTTTCAGAATATTTTCGAGAGGCAATAAGATAGCCATAAACCATACCACTTTAAAAAAAAAAAGCAACAAAATCGTCAAATGCTTAGCCACTGTGAAGGAGAGTGTGGAATGGGCATGGAGCTGTGGGTACTCACTGATGGTTATCTTCTCAGATAAAAACAACTCCAGCGTTTTATTAAAAATAATTTTTAGTCAATACATTAAAACAACAACCTCAGAAGTTTGGACACATTTGAAAAATTAACAACAATTATAAATTAAAATATACCAACCTGAGATCACTGCATGGAATTTGTATTATTACTCCAGAACAATAAAAAACAAATTTAAATGCTGAATAAAGTCTCCCCTTTAATGTTCACATTGACTGACACGCCTGATTTTTTTTTCAAGCTAACAGTAAATAAAACTCAAAGCTGCTGCTGCACACGCACATTGAAAAAATTCATCACAGCAATTCAGCAATATGTATTTACACATCAATAGATTTTAAGGCCCATTCCATTAACAAGTAAGACAAATAGAAAATAAACAAATGAAAAAAAAGGGGGGGGGGAGAGGGAGGCAGGGTGGGAAGGAATGGGGATAAGGAGAAATGCACTCTAACGCTCTGAGCCTGGCCACAGTCACGCAGGGCCCCTGCCCATGTGACCAGCTGCTCAGGAGCACAGAGGCCTCTCACCAACTGGGCTTCGGGATACCACCAGAACCACCTGGGGAAGACAAAACTTTTTTTTTTTTTTTTTAATAAATCTATTACATAAAAGTTCTATCATGAGGAGAAAAGAAAGGCCCACTTTGCTTATTTGGTTGCTCATTGTTGTAGGAACAGCTAACCTAATTTCAACTGAACTCCTATAAAACTAGCCATGCATCGAAAAGTCAGTCCCAGCCTCCATCTTCTCAAAAAGATGTGACACGAGGGCTTTTGGAGATGGGCCTCTCCTACACTTTAGTATAGGAGCTAGGTAGACTGACAGTCAAAGGCTAGGTTACTAGAGGAGGAAAGACCAATCTTCAGAGGAATGTTTCTACACTAGGACACCAGAGCACCCTTCAGGGCCAACAGTATCTCTGAGCAGCATTACTACTGAAACAAAGCACCCGTTGCAGCGTCTGTCGCTGGTGCCTGCAGATGGCCTGCGCTGCACTTGGGTCATGCCGCACCCAGCAGGAGTCAGAAGAAGACTCACCACTATGGCCGTCTACTCGCATGCAACAGTCCATGCAGAGGGCAGCTGGCTGTGAGCATTCGGAGGCTTTGGGATACAGAGCAGGGAAGCAAAGCTAAGGAGAAAGGATAGGGTCAGTGGAGATCACATCAGAAAGCCATAAAGAAAAACTGCTTAAGAAATGCTGAAGACTTAAAGAAGAGACTTTAGTGATTTGATGAAACCACTGGTGTTTACAACACTGAAGTTTGTGACTGAATTTTCTTTTTGTGCACAATGTGTTAAGAGTCCTCAAATACAATATGAATTAAATGAGAGCTCCTACTTTTAGATTAATTCGTGTAAGTTACTTAGTATTTTTGCTATGTATGGAGTACAGTTATGATGAAATTACTGAAGAGGTACATTATATCTTAAGCAGTTTCAAGCAGACGGTATTACCCGAATTTAGCTAATGCATAAAGCAGATTTAGAGTTCAGACCAAAAGAGAGTTAATGAAGAAGGTTCACTTTATATCTGGGTCAGAAGGGCTGAATTCCCAAAGCCTCCGAAGCCCCAGCTACCCAACTCGCTCTACATCATCTAACTATGAACAGTAAGGTAGGCACAGACCAAGCAGTTGGTAATACAGCTTGGCACGCAGACACCGGACGAGAGAGACTGCAGCAAGGGTTTCACGTGATCGTGTGTAATGTTCGTCCACACCTTAGTCTTCGACTTGGGACTGCTTCCATTCTGCCCTTCCTCAGAAGCTTCATCCCCCCGGCCAGAGTTCAGCCATCTTGTCTTCTCTCGCTGCTGCTTCTGAAAACTGTGTCTGAGAGGGGAGCAAGTGCCTGAATCACCGTCACTAGCAAAGGAGTAACCTGTGACACTAGCAGGAACCTCCACATCGCTGTATTTTTTAGATTTCTCTCTCAGAGCTGGGTATCGATAAGGGTAACCAGTTCTGTAGCCCTAGGGTTCAAAGAAAATAAAAGACAGTCAACATTTCAGATCTCAAAACTTGAGTTTCACTCTGGAAAATTATGTGGAAATACATTCAAAAACTGAGCATACACATACTCTACAGCTCAGTAACCCCACTTCTGAGTATATGCCTTTAGGAGTACACATGTTCACCAAAAGACAAGCACTAAAATATCAACAGCAGTACTATGTTACAACTCTAAGAATACTCTATTACTAAATGCACAATGTGGGTAACTCACAAATATGACATTGAATGAAAGAAGCCAAATGGAAAACAATACATACTGTGTAAGTCTACTTATAAAAAAGTACAAAAGAGGCAATATCAGTCTCTGTTGTTAGAGACAAGAAAGAGGTCACCAGAATATGGCTGAAAGGGGACCTGAAGTAGTGAGGTGCTACTAGTGTTATTGTTTATTTGGGTGCTAATTAAAGAGTCGGTTCAGTGTTGAAGGCAGAGTTTGCCTTTATCACACTGCCTCAGCCTTCCAAGTAGTTAAGACACAAAGGTGTGCCACCACACTCAGCTTTGCAGGTGGTCTTGGAATAGAACCCAGCCTGTCATGTAGCCTCAGACTGCTGTGCAACAGCATTTACCAGTATTTCTTACTATGGCTGGGCCAACAAACAATTTTTATTTCTAAAATTATTGCTAGAGGATGCATGTACTCATGCAGAGAAAGAGAAAGGAAGAGGGAGAAGGCACTCCCCCATGGGGAACAGTCACACCACAATTCCTTCTCCATTTTTTCATTCTATTGGAATTTTGGACATGCCCACACATGTACCTGGCATGTTTTGTTCCAAGTCACCAGGTCCAGGACTAAAACCATGTGGGCAGACATGTGGGAATCTGGCTGCCTTAACAATCAGGTCACTGAGGTGGCCTGTAGTTTTAAATACTAACAAACTGACACTTATGTGTACAATCCTGTTTATGTATTATATTCAAGAAGAGGCTTTATCATCAAGTGTTGGCACCATTCTTACCAGATTATCGAGCATCCGCATGAGGGCTTCAAATTCTTGCTCACCAATCTGCCACTTGGGAGGCGATCCGGTGCCTTCCCCTGTCGGAGACCCCGGGGAACGGGATTTAGCTTTGTACTTCCCAGGATCCAGCAGGACTAAGTTGTCGGGTCCTCCAGCACTGGCCAGAGTTCGAACCTTTTCCAAAACAAGCAAACACAATAGCTTGAGTTCCTTACTGAGATCAAGAGGATCAGGTTATAGTGTGAGATCATTTAAACAGAAATTTAGGTTTCAACAGAAATCAAATCACTAGAGTAAATGCAGGATAAATATTGATAAGACTGATCATAAGATTGTTTTCACAAGTTTTTCTTTAGCATGGTAAAAATACTGAGCACTGTACTTGGCAGAGAAATGAGAAAACAAAGCACTTTTAATGATCCTATGTAAGGACCTAGACATCATTACCCCACAGATATAAGTCACAGAGAAGTGGGAGGAGTGTGAACTAGGGTTGACTAGACCTGGCATAAGGGGCACTACTAGCAGTGAGACTTCCCTGGATCTGCTTCTGCTTCTTTTTCTTCTTTTTAAATTTGCCAGAGGGTGTGTGTGCCTGCCAAGCAGAGACACAGGGAGAGGAGAAAGCAACCTCCCCAACGAGCCATGGTCACACCATAATCCCTTCTCCTCCATTTCTCTATCCTCTCAGGATTTGGGGCATGCATGCACATGCGCCTCACATGTTTTTCAAGCTGCCAGGGCTGGGATTCGAAATGTATGGTCAGCCATGGGATCCAGGTGCCTTAGACACCAGGCCACAGTTAGCCCTGCATTGCTTTTCCAAAAGAAGTGCTATGTGGATCAAATGAAATAACCAGGCTTGGCACGCACCAGTAATCTATAAACAGTAGTGACTAACATATTTGAAAAATTTTTAAAATTAGGAATGAAACACGTTGTAATTCTTTGTCAACTTAAATTGGTGAAATGGCATTTGTCCTAGTCCATTTCCAAATCTATGCTCTCACCGTGGGCAAAGGGATTGTTCCAAGACTCACTCTTGCTATACAAATCTCAAAACTCTTTGTGAACCCTGGAAACATCTAAATAAACTGATGATCAAGGCCTAGCTGCAATGGTACACACTACTACAATGCTATGCTCTGAAGACCATAGGGGAAGCCTGAGTCTAATTCCTGGTCCAACCTAAAGCTGCCATGACACTGCATGCCTGTAACCCCAGCAACTCAGAAGACTGAGGCAGGAGAACTGTGATCTCAAGGCTGGTCTGGGAGCTGAGCATGGTGGCATACACTGGGAGTCCCATTTGGGAGGCTGATATAAGAAGACCCTGACATGGTGAGATACTATCTTTAAAAAATAAAAAATAAACTGCAGACTTAATGGAATGGCCATCACCTACCTGGATCTCACATGCAACCACAAGGTTATGGATATAATAGAAGGCCTCCTCCACACTCTCTCCAACTGATACAAGCCCGTGATTCCGGAGGATAAGAACCTGAGGGGGAGAGCATGAAGGCTCCATGGAATTCAGCAAAAACAATGATACTACTTTTTCTTCTCTCTGTAATTTAAATATCAGATTGCATGCCTACTTACCTTGCTTTTAGGCCCCAAATTTTTCTGAATCAAAACTTTTTCTTCCTCATCAACCAGAATGCCATGATAGTCATGATAAGCCACTTCTCCAAGGGAAAGTGCCTCTGGAGAGATTGGCAACAGGCCACATTTCATCGCAGAGACCTAAAGAACAAGCAGTCACCATGAAGGAAGGAAAAGTCAGAATTATACACACTGTGACTGATGACATGCTAAGTGCTTTTCTCACATAAATTAACAAATGGAGGAAAATGTTAATTTTGCTCTTTCTTAGATATAAATGAATCCATGAACTAGAGATAAACCTGAATTTTGGTGCTCCCCATCAATTCACACTAAAAAACTCATACTAAAAACAAGGACTATCACTAAGCTGAAAGAGCTTCAGAAGCAATTCTCATCTTTCTAGGATGATTCTCACTGATTATAAATGTTGTGTAAGCTTAGACTGAATGACACAAAGAGCCCTGGGTCTAGTGTGTGAACTGTACAACAAACTCTCTGAGGAGACACTGTATTTCAAAAGAAAATGTTCCAAGTACTGTAAGGCTTTTGTGTGCTTTTGTTAGGTTGTAGGTAGATCAAATCACCAAAAATTAGATAAAGGGAAATTTATAAAAGTTTAGGATAATTTTACTAAATAACTGCTCTACATTTAAGATCGAGTCTCAAAGTAAAAAATCTAAGTGTTTAGATAGCCCTTAAGTTTTGTTGTTGTTTTTGCTAATAGGCATAAGCACTTGCTAGGGAGAAAGAAACAGAAAAAGAAAGAGAGAAAGAAAGTACGCCCCACGGGAAATGATCATATCACAATCCCTTCTCCTCTCAGGATTTTGGGCATGTACGTGCATCCAGCATGTTTTTCAAGCCACCAAGTCTGAGACTTGAACCTCACACTTGGCCATGTGGGATTTAGCTGCCTTAACCACCAGGCCACCAGCTGGCCTGAAAAACTTATTTCAAGAAAGGCAAAACTGGTGATAAAACTTTTATTTTTAATCCAATAAAAATAGGTTTACAGACTTGTTACAAGGGAGGGCAATTCAGAGAAAACGTAAAGAGAACATAAGTCACTCCGAGAATAGCACTCACCGCAGCCCCTGCTGGTGTGTGTATGTGCACAATACACTTAACATCTGGTCGTGCAGCATAAATCGCAGAGTGCAATGTGAAGCCAGCTTGATTTACTCCCAGGTTAGTACTTCCACGGTCAACTACATCTCCTTGTAGATTGATCTTAACCTGAAAGAAAAAGTTTAAATGTCAAAAGGATTCAAATTACCTTAACTAGAAACTATTTAAAATCAAGTTTAAAATGTTTCTAACTTCTGAAAAATTTTCTCTAACTGAACTAAAACATGGGTTCTCTCCTACTTCTTGGGTCTTCAACTGGATTTTAAGATGGTTAATGATCTAATATAACCTGCACATACATGAAGCCGAAGAGCCAAACATGCTTACCAAACTGGATGCTGTCACTTCACTGTAAAGAAGTCCAAAAGGTACAATGAGGAAGTGTTCCTGTTCGGAGCTCACTCTGGTCTGCGTAGAAAATGACTAAGTTAGCTCAAAAGTCCAGCTGAGGGGCCAGATGGTGACAGAGTGGTAATGCAACTGGATCCACATGGGAAAGGTCCTGGGTTTCCTTCTGTACACACCAGATACCTGCACACATGTGCCCATGATCAGGGCTGGCTAAGGCTAAGGGTGGATAGTGGCAAGAAGACCCTGTTGAGAGTGCTGCCTCTCCTCCTATTTTCTCTCTCCCAGAAGAGATCAACTTTTTTAAGTTTGCTATAGATTGCATGTGCTTGCTGAAAAGAGACAGAAATCACCTATGGCAGAATCACTATGCTCACCATGGGGGCTGGTTGGGCAGTTCTAATGATGAGGATGCTCACCACACCACATTCTGCCTCACTGACAGCCTATATATTTTTACAAGACTTTATTTTCCCTTCCATGAAATTCCTTTTTTGTCTTTTGTACATTTTACATTGGTTGGTCCATGTCTTACTAATAGTTCTTCATTCTGAATTAAAAAAGAAAAATTCCTAGACGACACAGGTATTCACCAGACAGTGGGGAGGTGGGTACTATCCCAATGAATGATGGTTACACCGTAATTCCTTCACCTCCAGTTCTCCTTTCAGAATTTTTCATACTTGTCTGGCATTTCTTCCAAGCTGCTGGGTCTGGGACTCAAACCACACAGTATCAGCTTTCTTATCCACCATACTGCCAGCTGGCCCCATTATTCTATATATTAATTTCGGTTCACTACATGTGGGACAAATCTTTCAGATATGGTTTTTACTTTCACACTCTTTATGACGTCTTTTTTCTTTCTTTCTTTCTTTCTTTTTTTTTTTTTTTTTTGAGATATTTTTGCTATAGGACACATGCGCTCAATGGAGAGACAAGAAAAAACAGAGATGGAAAGAAAGCAAGAAATAACCCCCCAGGGGGGATGGCTTCACCACAATCCTTTCTCCTCCAGTCTCCTTTTGTGCACATGTGCACGCATGCCTGGCGTGAATTTCAAGCCACCGGTTCTGGGCCTTAAACGGCAGTGGACTATGTAGGAGTCCAGCTCAATGGAGAGACAAGAAAAAACAGAGATGGAAAGAAAGCAAGAAATAACCCCCCAGGGGGGATGGCTTCACCACAATCCTTTCTCCTCCAGTCTCCTTTTGTGCACATGTGCACGCATGCCTGGCGTGAATTTCAAGCCACCGGTTCTGGGCCTTAAACGGCAGTGGACTATGTAGGAGTCCAATGACATAACGATTACACCATCTGCTGTCCCACTTTATGGTGTCTTCTTTTTTTTTTTTTTTTGCTATAGGGCGCATGCGCTCACCAGAAAGACAAAGAGACAGAAAGCGAGAAATCATCCCCTGGGGAGATGGCCATGCCGCAATCCCTTCTCCATTCTCCTCTCAGGATCTTGGGCACACACGCCCGGCATGAGTTTAAGCCACCAGGTCCGGGACTCGAACCGCAGTAGGCTACATAGGAGTCCAGCAACATAGTCATTATGCTAACTGCTGGTCCCTGTGGTGTCTTTTAATGACAAGAAATCTGTTTGTTTGTTTTTTTGTTTCTGGTTTTTTTTTTTTTTTTTGGAGAGGTTTTTGCTATAGGGCGCATGCGGTCGCCAGACAGACAGAGAGAGACATAGAGACAGAAATCGAGAAATCACCCCCCAGGGGGGATGGTCACGTCGCAATCTCTTCTCCTCCATTCTCCTCTCTGGATCTTGGGCACGCACGCACACGTGCCTGGCATCAGTTCAAAGCCACGGGTCCGGGACGCGAACCACGGTCGACTACGTGGGAGTCCAGAGACATAGCCATTACACTAACTGCTGGTTCCCCTGTTTTTGTTTTTTAAGAGAGGTTTTTGCTATAGGGTGCGTGCGCTAGCCAGAGAGACAGAGAGACAGAAAGCGAGG